AACAATGTTTCCGCTGCATTATGAATTACTTATTATGTTTGTTTATGGATATTATATGTGCGAATGATATTCAAGATGGTTTGTTTGATATGAATGTGTTTGACTTTGGTTGACTATTCGTATTGTACGGCGGGTTGTTGACGTGTCCGGGTAGGTCCGGGGCGTGACAGCTAGTCAACTAATAGCTTACAAAGGTGCCAATGGGCCGAAATACATTCGATTCCCATATTAAATATCTAGACAAAATAGCTACACAAATACAAAGATATATAACTAGATTGGACACCATAAAAAGTTCCAACAAATCCAAATAAAAATCTATTTCGAGCCAAAAACAAGTGAAATTTTGTTGTCTTAATGATGCATTATTTAATTACTCTGTAATAAATAAGACAACAAAGTACTTAGTATTATATAACCGATACGCATACATAAGTGTAAATGAGTAAAATATAATTTCATGTCTTCTTAAGTAATTTTCACTATGAAAAATAGTTTCATTAATTAATATATACATATTCTTTATTTCTAGATAAATTTTTACTTCTCACTTTCTACTTACATTTATTCTTATAGTCACAATCCTTATAGTGCATATGATAATATGGATGAAATGATATATTGTAAAGTAGTATAATTATGCATTTTCACCTTTGGATCACTTGATAAGACACATTTAGAAATTATAAAGTATAATAAACTCCTCTGAAATGATAGTAAAAAATCATGCACAGGATAGTCTTCATAATACTCATCATAATTATGAATACATAATACTCACAGTATAAAATTATAAAATGAAACTATTTTTATCTTCTTCATTTGACAAGAAAAATCATATATGGAAAAATGTTTATTTGAAATGTTATATATCTCTAAAAACTCACAGTGATAATATATTAATTTATATATCTCAAAAAAAATATTATATACAAAGTATGTAGTTCTACTAATGGTACCCGATTACTTTTACTAAAAAACCTGTGCATCAGAGCATGCCAGAGATTGCCAACAGATGAAGGAGGGTCAAGATTGGTGCAATATGCTCTGATAGTGGTTATGATTTCCTTCAGATGTGGCTGATATGCTATGAAGAAGACTCTGTAGGATAGACTTAAAGATCAGGGAATTAAGCCCGGCACCACAGGAAATTAAACACAAGAAGGATAAAAATTAGTCAACCACAAGTTTGTTAAAGATAATGCAATTAATCCCTCATGAAATTAACTCTAGATCATGATTAACTCCTTCATCAATCCCAAAGCAAATCCCTAATTAAAACTACTCACAATTCATGATTGAATTAACAATAGAATTGAGATGGAAAAAATTAATTGTCATTAACTACAAAGATGGAACTTATAAAGAATCTCAAAAATTTTTATGAACAAGGTTGAAAAGCTCTCTAAATTTTGCAATAGGATTTCTCTCTCTAAGCTCCGTAACGTAAAACAGGAAAACAAAGGCTGAAAAAAAAATAGCAAAAGTGGCCGAAAATCGACCCGCACGGTCGTCCGCACGGCGTGCGACCTCCCGTGCGGGTGTGCGTGAAAATTTCCACCGTCTCTCTCTTCTTCTGCCCGCATGGCGTGCGGCTGCCTTCACAGTCTGACCGTGCGTGTACTCCTGCAGCTGGTTCTTAACCGCGTGGCGTGCGATTCAGACTTTTGGACTTCATGCTCTCTGAATCACCCGCGGGACGTGCGGATATTATGTGTGGGGCGCGCGGACCTCTTTTGAACAATTTTCTTTCTCTTTTCTTCCCCGTTCGCTCCAGATCAATCACATCTTCAATCTTTGACCTCTGTTGACTCAAATCATGCTCCTTAATCGTCCCGTGAACCTCTGATGCACAGGTAAAGCAAATCAAAAGACAGACCAAATCAAGAAAATTCATCCCTAAACTACCTCTTTGTGCTCTGGCTAAATTTACTGCCAAAATTAATCACGACATCCTTGAAATTATGGCAGCACACACAATTGAACTAGCTCCTGATCAGAAAGACTTGTGAAGGTGGTGGTGAATGGTAAAAAGTCCCCTTTTTGAGAGTTTGGAACAACTTGACAGCGACTCAATGTTTTTGGGAGTAGTTTCAGGGCTATTCTTAGGAACAAGGAATTCACCAAGACACTAAATAGGAACTATCATCTATCTTTATGCAAGGAGTAGACATGGTGTACAACTAATATAAACTGTCGCTGCACATTGGTGCTTTGGCATATATACTTGAAGTACGCGAAGTACTAATGCTAAGTTTTGCAAAAGCCTTCAATTCCAGATTTAATCAGTTTATTTTTACTTGTCATTTTGGCACGAGAATGTCATTTCTTTCAAAAAGATCCCCAAGTCTCATCCTATTGTGCAAAACACTTATGCTTTTTGATCGGGTGTTTCATTATCTTTTTTGCAAGGTAAGAGGTCCAACTATATAAATTAATTATTCTATTTTATTTTTAATTTTTTTCAGATTTTCACTATACATTACCCCTTCTAATCTCGGCCTCACCAAGGAAAGTTTAGCAATTAAAGTTCATTAGACAGGTGAATCCATGCCTACAATGCAATCCTCGCAATATCAAATTCCTAAAAGGCAACTACTCTTACCCCATTTGGGGAATAAGAATAGTGCCAAAATTGACTCCAACAAAACTCCCTAAATTTAGCAAATTAATTTTCTAGCACCCTAAACACCAAGACTCTATCAGTGCTTCCAAACTCCCCATCTTTACTCGTGCTATCACACGTACCTGTCGTGGACTCCCTCCAACCTTGCCCTCCTGTTCCACCTCCCGTCTTGGTATCCTCCTTGTGTGAAAAACCTAGTCCTGTGCTAGAAGACCCTTCCATAAGCCATTCGTATCCCCCTAGTAGGACTAAACCCCCCCCCCCCCCCCACTAGCATTCAGATTTACCCCAATAGTTTTTTCCAATACCAGATTATTATCATATGTCAATGGACAAAACTTATCAGGATGACCAATAATTCCACAAATGAAACAAAAATTGGGTAGCTTTTCATATTTAAAGTTTACCCAGTTCCCAATCCCTCCTTTCTTAAGACTTGTTCATTTTTTCAGGGGTTTACCCACATCCATGCAGACCCTAACACGCAAGTAAGTCTCCAATTTTTCGTCAAATTGGTTCTCATCATAGCTAATAAAATTTGTTAATAAAATTATCAATTCTTCTAGCGATACCCAAATTCATAAAACTATAAGGAACATTATGAACCTGTACCCAAAATTCAACCTCATTGAGCTTAATTTTGAGCGGGATATCCTCTGGTTTAGCCTCTTTTAGAACCAACAGATTTCTTTAAAACAACCACGAGCCGCCCTCTAGAACACGTTTCATGTCCACAATATGATCGAAAGTAAAAAGGTACCTTTTGTCGTCAATTTCTTTGATAGACACACCTTTTCCCGGTCTATACAACGAAGCCATAAGATCTTTGAAGATCTAAAATTTGATCTTCCTATCAGTCAACAGTGTGCCAACGACCGGAAAAGTCGGCTACTCTTCCTCCACCGCCGGTCCACCGAACTCCTCTTCATCCAGATTCAATTCCTCAGAATCCCCACCTATCGCCATATTCTTATATTGATTGACAATGGATTCCATCAAAATTCCACTATTGTTGGTCCGAAACCGAACCCGTCGCCCTTCTTCACCAATTCCTCGCATGTCGCCCTGAAACAGACCAAGACCATGGCCGAAATGGAAACCCCAAGATTTCACGTCGTACCCTGCGATTGGACCTTGAAAGCTCTCACGATCGATCCCTCACCTTCCGGCCAATGCCTGCACAATACCCACTCTCAGCCGACACACCGCCTCAACCAGCCACTCCTTGACAAAGATCGATAGCGGAAAAAAACCCTAGCGGCGGCGAGCCACCCTAGAGAGAGAACCATGACATCTTGACATTAAGTCTGTTATAAAATCGGTCTTTATGATAACAACAACAATAACAACAACAACAACAAGAAGAAGAATAATAATGATGATGATGATGATGATGATGATAGTAATAATAATAATAATAATAATAATAATAATAATAATAATAATAATAATAATAATAATAAATAATAATAATAATAATAAATAATAATAATAATAATAATAATAACAACAACAACAACAACAACAACAACAACAACAACAACAACAACAACAACAACAACAACAACAACAACAACAACAACAACAACAACAACAACAACAACAACAACAACAACAACAACAACAACAACAACAACAACAACAACAACAACAACAACAACAACAACAACAACAACAACAACAACAACAACAACAACAACAACAACAACAACAACAACAACAACAACAACAACAACAACAACAACAACAACAACAACAACAACAACAACAACAACAACAACAACAACAACAACAACAACAACAACAACAACAACAACAACAACAACAACAACAACAACAACAACAACAACAACAACAACAACAACAACAACAACAACAACAACAACAACAACAACAACAACAACAACAACAACAACAACAACAACAACAACAACAACAACAACAACAACAACAACAACAACAACAACAACAACAACAACAACAACAACAACAACAACAACAACAACAACAACAACAACAACAACAACAACAACAACAACAACAACAACAACAACAACAACAACAACAACAACAACAACAACAACAACAACAACAACAACAACAACAACAACAACAACAACAACAACAACAACAACAACAACAACAACAACAACAACAACAACAACAACAACAACAACAACAACAACAACAACAACAACAACAACAACAACAACAACAACAACAACAACAACAACAACAACAACAACAACAACAACAACAACAACAACAACAACAACAACAACAACAACAACAACAACAACAACAACAACAACAACAACAACAACAACAACAACAACAACAACAACAACAACAACAACAACAACAACAACAACAACAACAACAACAACAACAACAACAACAACAACAACAATAACAACAACAACAATATACGAAGTAAGAAGTTAAGGACGGTAGAATTGTCCTTTTCTCAAACAACAATTACGGAGTACTAAACAGAAATAAAATAAATCATGTAGTCATGACACAATAAAACTTAACACGCATATGGATCGGAGTACAATATATACCCCTTCCCCTAAAACTCTCTCATTAGTTGCCCAGACGAGAGGCCGCTGCAGTGTGCTTCTGCTGCTACTTTAGGCGGGGAGCCACTAGTCGGAGTCGGAGTCGGAGTCCATGCTATCATCACTGATTATAGGGGTACTGGGACTACCTTCATCGTCATTTTCATCCACACTCTCATCGTCATTGTCATCCACACTCTCACGGTCATTCTCATTGTCATTGTCATTGTCATCGTCTTTCTCACTCTCATTCTCACTTTCATCACCCTCATAATTCACACTCTCACGGTCACTCACACTCTCATTCTCACTTTCATTATCACTGTCATCTTCATCGTCGTTGGCACGTTCTTCATATGTATACCTTCCTCCTATATCACCTTCCTCCCCCCTAGAGCTGCTGCTAGTGTAGTTCCTGGTTTCCGAGAAATATTCCAAAACAATCACCATATTATTATTATACGGAGTATTAGGAATAGGTAGTTGATGATGGTGGAAGGTCCAGTGGGTGGTTTTGTGTTTTAAAACTGGAAGCGAAAAGCAGGAATAAGAAATCAGTTGAGATAATGAGTTTGTGGTGGGTGAGAGTCGTTTCAATTTATAGGTGAAATGTGAAATGGAGTCATGAGTGTTGGTCGGTTCAATCCCATTTCAATAGGTAACAAGTTGTACGTCCTCGTAATTTCATTCTTACATAAGTACACCGATTAGTTTTAAGGAGATAGAAATTGTTCAATATAAAATCAAAATAGATGACAAAAAGTTCTAAAGTATGACTAAATGTATTTTGTTTCCCAAATAAGACTTATTTCGAGAATCATAAGTTGATTGAAACTAATAAAATATGAGTGCACAATTCCTATATTTTGAGAATAAAACAATAAGAATCGAGCTTTGTTCTCATTTTAGTCCTTTAAAGAGAATTTTCTCTTTACTTAAATATTACTAATATATAAATAGGCTTAAATACGTTTTTAGTCCCTGCAAATATGACACACTTTGTTTTAGGTCCCTGCAAAATATTTTTTTTGTTTTCATCCCTGTAATATGCACTATTTTGATTTTGGTCCTTCTCTAATCCCAAAACCACTCTACTTAGAAAAAAAAATTATTGTCAGTTGCATAGATTTACTAGAAATATTTAATTTGTCCTTTTATAATTTTTTTGAAGCTAATAAGAGAGTTAAAATAATGTAAAACTAAGTATTCACATTTAAAAAAAAAATTCAAGCCTTCAAAAAAATAAAATAAAATAATTTTTTAATAACATGATAAAGAAATAGAGGAAATCTATTTGTCAGAGTTATTTTGAAGTCAAGCGGATGTTGTTATCCTCAGTGATGGACTAAAATGAAAAGTAACCTAAATTGCAGGGACGGAAAACAAAAAAATAATTTTGCAAGGATGTAAAACAAAATGTACTATATTTGCAGGGACTAAAAACATATTTAAACCTATATAATATTTATGAATAAAAGTGCAACTAAAATTCCTATTAGTATGTCACTATAGTATTGGATTGAACATAATCATGATCGTCACTAAATAATTATAATCACTACATTCAACAATTCACATTTTTATAAACAATTTTTATTTTAATTATTATAAATACGTAATTAATCCTAAACATAATGCTATCTTATGTTAAATATTAATTAGAGTTGTCTTCAATTAACGTAAATAATCAAGTTTAGATATGCAACAACTCCCTCGTCAAGTTTAGATAGGGCAATGTTGTGCCGGAGCCGTTGTCCAGCTGTTGTTTGAATTCTATTTACTGACATACGGAGTAAAGATTACGGAGTAACTAGCGTAAAGGCCGGGGCAATGCCCCGGTGGCGGCGCATCAATTTGTGAATCATTCGTAGTATACAAAGTTGAATATAACACATTTTTACTATGATCTAACCACAAACAATAATAAATTTATATATGTTAAATGATTATATATTAAATTATCCATCATCATATATATCACATATTTACTTCATGTTTGACAGACATGAGTTTCTCTATCTTCTAGCTTTTGTACTGTTTAAATAGTCTGTAAAAACTTTTAGTTGTATGTTTGGCATGACAATTCTTAAGAGCGTTTAAAAAATAAAAAGATCTTTTCTTGAGATGCTACAGAGAGTAACATTTGAGAAAAGCATGTGACTTTTGATATTGGTTAGTCCTAATAGCTTGTATACCAAACAGAACTAAATTAAACAGTCAGTTTTTTACCAAACAATTACCTCCTTTTCTTTTTGAGATCTTTTCAGTCACTAAAAGTTAACGGTTACAAAAATGCTCGCTAAAGTATTTTTTTCATCTAGTTGTGCCAAACATACCCTTACTCTGCAGTGTATATCAATGTTTTTTTATTGAGGTAGCATTGTGATTGCGGTCAATGCGGTTGCGGCTGGGCGGTGTAATTTAATTTATGTTCAAACAAAATAAGAAAATAATTATTGTTGATGTCTTCATACGATCCGATATGGCCCCGCTACAGCCACCTAACGATTTCGTTGGGTTACATAGTATATTTCCCCCGTGATTGAAACCGCACCTATATTGCGGCCCGTTGTGGTTGCGCTACAGAAGGCAACCACAATATTGCAGCCGCTACATGTGTTGCAATACAGGCATATCCTCGTTCTGGCCACGTTTCATTGGGTTTCGTTTAGACGATGGGAGTACATTATTGATATTCTTGTAGCAGTTCATCATTGGAGAATAATAAAAGTGTTATGTATGAAACTTTTTCTCTTTCTTTTTCTCCAAATGATGAGTTGGCCTAATTAATGTGAATAGCTACGGACCAATTCTATGGCCGTACATATGAACGAAGGAAGCAGTGTGGGGCAGAGAAGATTAATGACCAACGTGGCTAAGAGAAAAAGAAGAGAAAAGAAATAAGAAAGCAATTAGAGTCATATTAATATTAGTATTAGTCCTACTTTAATTAGTATTCCTTTATCTTAGTTTCCTATTTTGTTTTAGGAACTTAGTTTCCTATTTTGTTTTAGGAAACCCTTTATCTTAGTTGTATTAGAATAGCAACTTAGTTTCCTATTTTGTTTTAGGAAACCCTTTATCTATTTAAGGGGATCTCAGCTACTTTAATAAACAGCTTTTTGGTTAATTAATCTTGAAATCTCTTGACTAGGTCGGGGATCGATAATTATCTATTAAGCCTCTAATTCAGTTCATCTATTACTCGTCAATTAAAATAGCTCCAGGAACATCATCGTTTACTTGTGGTCAATCCCGTTCACGCCCTTGGACAAGGTCTCTGTCTCACGCACTTAAATAGCTATTCATGGACCGTGTGAACAGACATTGCGAGAATTAAATGTTTTAATAAAAGTGATAATCAAATTTTTAGTAATCAATCATAGATTGACACATCATTGTTTTATAATTGAGTTTTATTGTATAAAAAAAATAGATTGTCAAATAACAAAAAAGAAAATTTAACATAAAATCTTTTCCAACTTAAACATACATTTGCGTTACTTAAAAGTAGCTCATAATAAATAATTAAGTTGATTTAGAGCCCGTTTGGTAATTTCAAAACCGGTTGATTCGGCCGATTATAGTGAAAGTTATGAAATTCTGGCTGAAATGGCTAGATTGGCTGATTCAGCTGATTTATGAAAAAATACTTAGAAATATTTTATTAGTCAAATAAAGAAAAAATTATATGAAAATAGCTAAAATTGTCTTCTAAAATAACTTTAGTTAATACAGCCAGAAAAATAACTTGAATCATTATTGCACAATTCAACGTTCAAAATCAAAATTTACGTGTTTGATGAAAAAGTTGACAAATAAGCCCATCCAGATCTTTCGATGGAATTGTATGCAATTGTTGATTTGTAATTGGGAGGGTGTAGAGTTTAGTTGTAATATTAGGGTGATGTACTATCGGAGTCTTATTCACATGTACGATCTAAGATGGTTTTACTTGAACTTTAATATGTCCCAGACCAGACCTGACCAGACTTGGATATTTATAAAAATACAAAGAAACCCGACCTGATCAGACCAACAAATTATAGTCCAAGTAAAAATATCCTTATTGGTTTATTCAAAATATATTGTGGGTGCGGTTGGGTAATAGTGTGTTAGCTCCCAATTCAAATTAACATGCGACAACAAATTATTATCTTTCAAATACTATGTTAATATTTCAATAATATTAACATTAATATGGGTTAGAAAATCATAGAATAGTCTTTCAATTGTTCAAATAAGTGATGCATTTAGGATCGATATCATGTTGATAATCTATAGTTATTATGGTGCCGTACGATTAGCGGTAGATATATCATGTTGAATTAGGTGATCTATTTGATCGGTTTTTCTTCCGTATTAAGCGGTAGTGTTATTTATGTTGTTAATACAATTATTAGAGAGATTTTAACTCACTTTTGGTATATAAAATAATGGATTTTTTGTATTTATATATATATATAATATTGGTGTCATATGAAAGATCTTAAAAAGTTATGAATTTTGATATATTTTTTGTAAAAATAGGATTATAAATATAAAAGTTATATCACTTTTTAAGATAGAGATTTTTTCTCCTCCTTTTGCTCTAAATTGGTTGTTGTGCACGATTTTGAACTGTGGTGAACATTGAATTAATTAATTGTTTTAATTGTAGTGATAATAGAATTTGCATTGTCCAATAAGAAGCTGACACATCATCATTTTTTAATTCAAGTTTACTATATAAAACAATAGATACGTGATCGAGTACGTACGTTTGATTTTAGTTAGAGAATATTACCCGAAATAAGACTAAAAATGTTTGAAAATTTCAAAATTGGAATGCCATGTTTTAAAATAACACTAATTACTGTCATGTTTTGACAGTACCAAACTTCAAACATAGCAGTATTTTCCTAACATGGTAGTAATTATTCCTATTTTGGAAATAAAAAACATGACAGTCCTATTTTGAAATTTTCAAACTGTTTTAGTCCTATTTCGTGAACTTTCCCTTTTAATTACTACTCCGCATAATAATAAAATAATACTAGTATACTACTTAGTACCGAGTATATATTTTTGTACTACTTGATTTCAAAGTACTCCGTATATTATACTCAACTTATGCAAAAAATGATATCTTAGTACTGGTTCGGGTCCGGTTCGGGCCTGGGCCCGGCCGGGCCTAAAAAAAGTGACGAAGTGTGATCTATTGATTCATTGTTGGGTTCCACAGGATGGCGAGACACCGACTCGGATTGCTGAAAATGAAGTAAAAATTGTCAAACACAAATATATTAAAAATTATATAATTATAAATTTTTATTTAATTCACATGATTATGTATGTATAGCAAAAATGCGAAGAAGCTGCAACACAGAAAGCCGCCGAACTTGGCACCAGGAATTTTGTCACGGACGAGATTCGAGACAAAATATTCTGTGATGGATTTTTTCAAATGGGATCCATGACAAATACACTGTTTTTTGTAATGATTATACGTACTCCTTCAGTCATGTTAAGGTTATAATTTTTTCCTTTTCAGTTCGTTTCACTACGTCTCACTAAGA